TCCTGTGGTCTGTTCTCCCTTTCTTCCTGTTCAGAACACCACGGAGAGGTGGAAGAAATGAAAATATTTTCTGTCTCTTGCTTGCAGAAGCAAATCAGTCTTTGAGGACTTATGTTTTTTCTGTGTGATTACAGTCAGACGTTCCCTCTGAAATCGCCTTGGCAGATATCTAGGATGCCAGACTGCTTGTAGTTTCAGTGGTTCAGGCCATCACTGCCTTTTGATAACGTGGCTGCTGCTGATAATGGTGATGGTGACAACCTCAGTGACGAGTGTGGTCTGATGCAGAAAAAGACTGCTTACAGTCTTGCTGGAGAGATGCCAAGAGCACTGACGAGACAATTAGAAAACATAAATCTATTCGAAATGGTGTGATGCAGACTCAAAGTGCAACAGAGATTCCTAAGAAAAGAAAATTGAAGGGAAGTTGGCGAAGGTTTGAGGAAGAAGCCAGAAGCATGAGCTTAACCTTGAAGAATGAGTGAGATTTTGATAGGGCAATGAGGGGGCAGCCGATTCTATAGGGGAGGAGTGGACTAGCATGACCCAAAGTACAGAGGAGGGAATCAACCCGGTGTAGCTGAGTAGCTTGAAACCAGGTTGGGAAGGGTGAAATTATGGCAGACAGAATTCCACATTTGGAATCCATGTGATGCCACATGCAGTAGAGGGCTACAGTAGTTTCCTGAAGAGGTGAATGGAATGCTGATACAAGCAGGGATTGAGGAAAACTGGTCAGAAAGTAGTATTCAGAGGTCGGGCACTGGGGCTCACGCCTGTAATCCCAGCACTTTCAGGGGCTGAGGCAGGTGGATCAGGAGTGATTGGGCCTCCCAAAGTGCTGGGATTACAGGAGTGAGCCACCATGCCCAGCCTCCAATTTATTTATTTTTATTTATTTTTTATTTTTTATTTTGAGACAGAGTCTAGCTCTGTCGCCCAGGCTGGAGTGCTGTGGTGCAATCTTGGCTCACTACAAGCTCCGCCTCCTGGGCTCACGCTATTCTCCTGCCTCAGCCTCCGGAGTAGCTGGGACTACAGGCACCTGCCACCCTGCCCGGCTAATTTTTTTTTTTTTTTGTAGAGACAGGGTTTCACTGTGTTAGCCAGGATGGTCTCAATCTCCTGACCTCGTGATCCGCCTGCCTCAGCCTCCCAAAGTGCTGGGATTACAGGCGTGAGCCACTGCGCCCGGCCTCCAATTTATTTTTAAGTTCACTTTTTCGTTACCTGAGGTCAGGAGTTCGAGACCAGTCTGGCCAACATGGCAAAACCTGTCTCTACTAAAAATACAAAAATTAGCCAGGCGCAGTGGCACACGCCTGTAATCCCAGCTACTTGGGAGGCTGAGGCAGGAGAATTGCTTGAACCTGGGAGGTGGAGGTTGCAGTGAGCTGAGATTGCGCCATTGCACTCCAGCCTGGGTAACAGAGCCACAGTCCATCTCAAAAAAAAAAAAAAAAAAAAAAGCAAGCAAGCAAGCAAGCCGTGTTCAAGAGACCCTGCAATGGAAACATCCACAATCCAAAATACTTTGCTCTAGTCCAGGAGTGAGGAGAGAAGAGTCTGGCCGAGGGCCGAGGGACACAGAAATCGGAATAGAAGAAGGGTTCAATCTGAAGGTCTTGCCAGAGGAACTTGGAAACCGTGTCAATAGAGGGAGATGATGGGGAGCCTGGACAATGAAAACTGATATTTGGAATGATGACTCTAGGGCCCTGTAAAATCTTCACTCAGCCGACAGATTCAATTATATTTACTAGATTATACTTACTGACTGCTAACTCCAAATAAAGGCTATACTTCGTTTTAAGAGCCATAGCAGTCAATTAGTGGCCATAATCAAATTTTCTTTGATAACTGAGAATTGTATAGGGCCTTGGGACCATCATTCTGAGCATGAATCTCCCTTGTCCAAGACGTTGGATATATAAAAGGAAATATATTGGGCTGAATGTATATCTCCTGGGAGTTGTGTCTTTGCATATGTTACAGATAGCAGTTTTTTTCTTCACAATTTGGCCTTTATCCCAAAAGCTGAGATACAGAAGAAAAATCCAGTGACTTAAGTTACCTTTTACATAACCAAAAAGTGAACTTAAAAATAAATTGGAGGCTGGGCATGGTGGCTCAGTCCTGTAATCCCAGCACTTTGGGAGGCTCGATCATTTGAGGTCAGGAGTTCAAGACCAGCCTGGCCAACATGGTGAAACCCCTTCTCTACTAAAACTATAAAAATTAGCCGGGCATGGTGGCGCAAGACTGTAGTCTCAGCTCCTCAGGAGGCTGAGGTAGTAGAATCTCTTGAACCTGGGATGCGGAGGTTGCAGTGAGCTGAGATCGCACCACTGCACTCCAGCCTGGGCGACAGAACAAGACTCCCATCTCAAAATAATAAATAAATAAATAAATAGGGTTTGAAGGTGAGATTTTAACACTAACTTTGTTTTCTTTTTTTTTTTTTTTGAGACAGGGTCTCGCTCTGTCACCCAGGCTGGAGTGCAGTGGCCGGATCTCAGCTCACTGCAAGCTCCGCCTCCCGGGTTCACGCCATTCTCCTGCCTCAGCCTCCCGAGTAGCTGGGACTACAGGCGCCCACCACCTCGCCCGGCTAGTTTTTTGTATTTTTTAGTAGAGACGGGGTTTCACCGGGTTAGCCAGGATGGTCTCTATCTCCTGACCTTGTGATCCACCCGTCTCGGCCTCCCAAAGTGCTGGGATTACAGGCTTGAGCCACCGCGCCCGGCCTTAACTTTGTTTTCTTTAAAAAGTAATGCAGGCTAGTGGCTCATGCGTGTAATCCCAGCACATTTTGGGGCCAAGGCAGGAGGATTGCTTGAGGCCAAGAGTTCGAGACTAGCCTTGGCAACATAACAAGATCCTGTCTCTACAAAATATATACATATATATATGTTTTAAATAAAAAGTAATGCAATGCCAAGTGCAGTGGCTCACGCCTGTAATCCCAACACTTTGGGAGGCCAAGGTGGGTGGATCGCCTGAGTTCAGGAGTTCGAGACCAGCCCGGCCAACATGGTGAAACCCCGTCTCTACTAAAAATACAAAAATTAGCTGGGCGTGGTGGCAGGCACCTGTAATCTCAGCTACTCGAGAGGCTGAGGCGGGAGAATTGCTTGAACTCGGGAGGTGGAGGTTGCAGTGAGCTGAGATCAAGCCATTGCACTCCAGCCTGGGCGACAAGAGTGAAACTCCATCTCAAAAACAAAAACAAAAAACCAAATAAACCCTGAAGTAATGCATACTTGCAGAAGAAAATAAGGAAAAATATTTAAAAAGAAGAAAATAAATATCACTATAGTCTCATTGCTGATAAATAACCATTAATGTTCTGATGTGTACACTTCCAGTCTGTGCTTTGCATATATTTATGTTTAACATTTTTTTTAAAAAATTGAGACCATAGCATATGAAAAATTTTGAGGCTGGGCATGGTGTCTCATGCCTGTAATCTCAGCGCTTTTGGGAAGCGGAGGCAGGCAGATCACCTGAGGTCGGGAGTTCAAGACCAGCCTGACCAACATAGACAAACCCCATCTCTACTAAAAATACAAAATTAGCCGGGCGTGGTGGTGCATGCCTGTAATCCCAGCTACTCAGGAGTCTGAGGTGGGAGAACTGCTTGAACCCATATGGCAGAGGTTGCAGTGAGCTGAGATCGTGCCATTTCACTCTAGCCCTAGCAACAGGAATGAAATTCTGTCTCAAAAAAAAAAAAAAAAAAAGAAAAGAAAAAAGAAAAATTCTGTATTCTGCATTTTCACTTACTTGTATTTTGTGAGCATTTCTCTTACAATTTAGTCTTTGAAAACATTATTTTTAATGGCTGCATAATATCCCACTGTACAGATATATTTTCATTTTTATTTATTCTTTTTGAGACGGAGTCTCACTGTGTCGCCCAGGCTGGAGTGCAGTGGCACAATCTCAGCTCACTGCAACCACCACCTCCTGGGTTCAAGCGATTCTCATGTCTCAGCCTCCTGAGTAGCTGGGACTACAGGTATACACCACCAGGCCTGGCTATTTTTTTTTTTTTTTTTTTTGGTATTTTTAGTAGAGATGAGATTTCACCATGTTGGCCAGGCTGGTCTCAAACTCCTGACCTCAGGTGATCCACACGCCTCGGCCTCCAAAGTGCTGGGATTACAGGCATGAGCTACTGTGCCTGGCCCCACTGTATAGACATGAACTTTAGCTATTCCTTTTCTGGTGAGCATTTAGGTTTTTCCTATTTTAAAAAAATTCTAAATAACACTGTAAAATATTAGTACAAAATTTTGACCACATCCCTATTTCTTTTGTATAGATTTCTGGAAGTGAGATTTCAGGTCCTAAGAGTTATGAACATTTTTGAGGTTCTTGATAATATTGCCAAATTGCTCTCCAGAAAAGTTGACCAATTTACATCCAGTTTTTCAACTAAAAATCTTAAGATTTTTTTCAACTCAAAATTTTCAGTTAACAATCTTAAGAAAAACTTGACAAATCCTGAAACTTCTCTTTATGCTTTGATAAGTCCATTCTGCTCATCTGTCAAAGAACCACTTCCTGTGTCATGGCTTGTCATTCAATTTTTTTTTTTCTTTTTCTATTTTTTTTTTGAGATGGAGTTTCGCTCTTTTTGCCCAGGCTGGAGTGCAATGGCGCGATCTCGGCTTACTGCAACCTTCAATTCCCTGGTTCAAGTGATTCTCCTGCCTCAGCCTCCCCCGTGGCTGGGATTACAGGCATGCACCACCACGCCTGGCTAATTTTGTATTTTTAGTAGAGTCGAACTTTCTCCATGTTGGTCAGGCTGGTCTCGAATTCCCGACCTCAGGTGATCCGCCCGCCTCGGCCTCCCAAAGTGCTGGGACTACAGGCATGAGCCACTGTACCCATCGTGTCACTTCATTTTTATAGTGCTACAAAACCATGTTTTCTCCTCTCTGTTCTTGTTCCGTTTTCTGACTCCATCTCTGCGTTTTTGTATGTTCCAGGTTCAGGTGTGGGACACAGCAGGTCAGGAACGTTTCCGCAAAAGCATGGTCGAGCATTACTACCGCAACGTACATGCCGTGGTCTTCGTCTATGACGTCACCAAGATGACATCTTTCACCAACCTCAAAATGTGGATCCAAGAATGCAATGGGCATGCTGTGCCCCCACTAGTCCCCAAAGTGCTTGTGGGGAACAAGTGTGACTTGAGGGAACAGATCCAGGTGCCCTCCAACTTAGCCCTGAAATTTGCTGATGCCCACAACATGCTCTTGTTTGAGACATCGGCCAAGGACCCCAAAGAGAGCCAGAACGTGGAGTCGATTTTCATGTGCCTGGCTTGCCGATTGAAGGCCCAGAAATCCCTGCTATATCGTGATGCTGAGAGGCAGCAGGGGAAGGTGCAGAAACTGGAGTTCCCACAGGAAGCTAACAGTAAAGCTTCCTGTCCTTGTTGAAACCAAACGGTGTAAATACAAGATAAATTATCACTGGAGTTTTTCTTTCCCTTTTTTCTGTGCCTGCATAATGCTGACACCTGCTTGTTTCCATACAAATTGATATCAAAATAAAATTTGTATAGATTATCACATGGCTTTTTGTCTTGCTTTCCTCCAAGCCATTCCTGATTGTGATGAGTGGAACAGGCAGTTTGTCTTACTAGAGTAATATTCCCCATGCCAGTGGCACACTCCCTGCCAGCTTTCTAGGCTCTCTGAAATTCTCATCGCTTGAGTCAATTCTTCAGGACGAATTCATTCTCTCACTCAGTGTAATCAGTGGGCAGAAACACCTGGTGGGGTTGGGGCACAGGCCAGATATGTTTTTCTAGAGAGCAAGTACAGGCAGAGTGATATAGAGAAGTCTTGAAACCAGATGTGGACTCACTGGTATTTCCTAGGTTTCCTAGATATGTGCCTTGAATGCCCGGATAGACTACTCTCTCCATATTTTCCAGTTTAAAAATAAAAAGTATGGGCCGGGCGCGGTGGCTCACGCCTGTAATCCCAGCACTTTGGGAGGCCGAGGCGGGCGGATCACAAGGTCAGGAGATCGAGACCACGGTGAGACCCCGTCTCTACTAAAAATACAAAAAATTAGCCGGGCGCGGTTGTGGGCGCCTGTAGTCCCAGCTACTCAGGAGGCTGAGGCAGGAGAATGGCGTGAACCCGGGAGGCGGAGCTTGCAGTGAGCCGAGATCGCGCCACTGCACTCCAGCCTGGGTGACAGAGCGAGACTCCGTCTCAAAAATAAATAAATAAATAAATAAATAAAAAATAAAAAGTATGGCCGGACGCAGTGACTCACGCCTGTAATACCAAGACTTTGGGAAGCTGAGGCGGGCAGATCACTTGAGGTCAGGAGTTCGAGACCAGCCTGGCCAACATGGCGAAAACCAGTATCTACTAATAATACAAAAATTAGCCAGGCATGGTGGCACATGCCTGTAATCCCAGCTACTTAAGGGCTGAGGCAGGAGAATCACTTGAACCCGAGAGGTGGAGGTTGCAGTGAGCCCAGAATGTGCCACTGAGCTCCAGCCTGGGTGACAGAGTGAAACTGTGTCAAAAAAAAAGAAAAAAAAAAAAAAAGGACAGTTTGTCCAATGGGCCCGATTACTTCCAGAATAGTTAGATTCTGCTTCCTATTTTTCATCAATCAGTCTTGAACCCTAAGGCTGTTCCCACTGTGACCCCCACCCCTACCCTTTCTTGGATAGGCAGGGCTCAAGCAACAAATATCTATCATGTCCCCAGACCTTTGCTAGGTGCTAGGGAAGAAATGTTACAAGAGGACACGTTCCCTATGTTCAGAGACCCTATGATCTAGTTGCAGGAACTATGTACACACTGAAACTACATGCAAACAAAAACCAGACAACATGACCAAGTGTGAGGTTGCACCATGGGAAGTGAGAGCATTATGTATTCAATATCAGGGAGGGCTCACAGGAAAATACTTAGATTTGTTTTGTATGTTAACTAACGTGTAAGGTTTAGATTGGTAAAGAAGAGGGGAGGGGAGTGGGCAAAATCAGGGGGGCAGGAATAACCTTGGAAGTTGGAAGAGAGGACAACTGGGGATCTGGCCCAAGGAGAGCTGAACAGTGCTAGTGGGAGCTGAGATTGGGGAGGGCTTGCGCATCAGGCAGAACAGTTTGGAGATTTATTTATTTTTATTTTTTATTTTTTTTGAGATGGAGTCTCGCTCTGTTGCCCAGACTGGAGTGCAGTGGCGCGATCTCAGCTCACTGCAACCTCCACCTCCCGGGTTCAAGCAATTCTCCCTGCCTCAGCCTCCTGAGTAGCTGGGATTACAGGCACCCACCACCACACCCAGCTAACGTTTGTATTTTTTAGTAGAGACAGGGTTTCGCCTTGTTGGCCAGGCTGGTCCCAACTCCTGACCTCAGGTGATTCGCCTGCCTTAGCCTTCCAAAGTGCTGGGATTACAGGCGTGAGCCACAGCACCCACCCCGGACTTGCTCTCTGAGCCAATGAGAGCTCTTGGTAGTTTTCCAGCAGGCGAGTCCTATAGTTATTTCTTATACATCTGGTCCTATTATTGATACGAAAGCTCCTTGTCCAATTGTGAAAGTAACTAAAAGTGGCTAGTAAAGACTTGTCTACAATAGCTCCAGGTGGATTTCTTTGCATGAAAGATGGTGTGCTCCTTCAGGAGTCTCTCTTGCTGGAATCCCGCTCTGAGGGGGTCTCGGGAAGACAGCTCCTGAACACTTTCCTCTGTCAGGCGTATGGGGCTCTGCTCCTAGACAGCGAAGGGTAACACACACCAGATGTGCTTCCCACTCAAATAAAGAGCTTGTCTGGTCCCGCCTGGGTCATCCTTGCAGCCCTCTCTACCGCATCCCATCCCCACCTGGCCTCAGACTCAGTCCCGCCCCCAGTGGCCTCAGACTCAGTCCAGTCACCAGTCTGGTTCTCATCACTTGACTTTGCCTGGATCTCAGTCTTTGGAATCTGCCTACCACTCCAGTTAGAGCTGCTTTTCTTACTAGTTGTCCCCATCCAACTCCCAGCCCCAGAATCTCCCCCAAAGGGCTGGGCTCCCATTGTCTGTGGATGAGCTGTGTGCCGGAAGACTGGTTGCTATGCTTCTCCCAGATGCCACATCCCATTACCTTGTCTCACACTCCAGACGCTGACTCCTTGCTCAGGACACAACCTGCTGTTGTGTTGCCTTTTGGTTGCCATCACCTGTCTTGCAGGGCTAGGCCACTGCTCAGTTACTACAGGTGCATTTGTCTGTCCTAATGGGTACATTTCAGTTTGGGTCCAGACCCCTCTTGGTCAGGCCTCTTTCTTCAGTTACAGGGGCCAAGGATGACAACGTTCCTAGTGTTATGAGTCCTCTAACCAGGATCGCCTCTGACACCTTCTAGGCTTCTAGGCTTTCTTTTCTTTTTTCTTTCTTTTCTTTTCTCTTTCTTTCTTTTTTTTTTTTTTTTTTTCGAGACAGAGTTTCAATCTCGTCACCCAGGCTGGAGTGCAATGGCACAATCTTGGCTCACTGCAACCTCCACCTCCCAGGTTCAAGCAATTCTCCTGCCTCAGTCTCCCGAGTAGCTGGGATGACAGGTGCCCACCACCATGCCCAGCTAATTTTTGTATTTTTCTAGAGATGGGGTTTCACCATGTTGGCCAGGCTGGTTTCGAACTCCTGACCTCAGGTGATCTGCCCACCTCGGCCTCCCAAAGTACTGGGATTACAGTCGTGAGCCACTGTGCCTGGCCACCTTCTAGGCTTTCAACAAACATTCATTGAGAACCCACTATGTGCCACTATTCTGAATCCTGGCGTTACATACATGAACAAAGTCCTGCTCTCCTAAAGGAGACAGACACTAAATAAGAAATGAGGCCCCTAAACAAGCTCATTTGAGAGAGTGATAAGGACTCTCAAAGCAGGGTAAATGAATTGAAGGTGACAGATATGGGGGAGGGCAACATATTGCTGGAGTGGCACAAAAGACATCTTTGAGGAGATGCCACTTAAGTTGAGAAATGAATGAAGAAAAGCAACCAGGGACACGTGCAGTGACTCATGCCTGTAATCTCGGAGCTTTGGGGGGCCAAGGTGGGAGGATTGCTGGAGCCCAGAAGTTCAAGACCAGGTTGGGCAATATGGTGAGACCCTGTCTCTAGAAAAAAACATTAAAATTAGCCCAGTGCAATGTTGCGTACCTGTAGTTCCAGCTACTCGGAAGGCTGAGGTGGGAGGAACCCTTGAGCTGGGGGTGTGAAGGCTCCAGTGAGCCAAGATCGCACCAGTGCACTCCAGCCTGTGTGAGAGAGTGAGATTCTGTCTCAAAAAAACAAACAAACAAAAAAACAAAACAAAAAAAAAAAAAAAAAGGAAAAAGAAAAAGAAGAAGAAGAAAAGAAAAAGGGAGAAGAGAACCCCAAGCAGCAGAAACAGCAAATGTCAAGATCCAGAGGCAGGTGGTGTAACGTTGGTGTGTTTGAGGGACAGAAAGGGGGCCAGTATGGAGATGGCTGGAATAGAGCAAGCAAAGGAGAGTGGCAAGAAATGAGGTACAGAAATAGGTAAGGCCAGGTCTACGGGGGCCCTATGGGCCATGACTGGGAGTTTTCTTTTCTTTTCCTATTTTATTATTAGAGATGGAGTCTCACTCTGTCGCCCAGGCTGGAGTGCAGTGGCACAATCTCAGCTCACTGTAACCTCCGCGTCCCGGGTTCAAGTGATTCTCCCGCCTCAGCCTCCTGAGTAGCTGGGGTTACAGGTGCGCCACCAAACCCAGCTAATTTTTGTAGTTTTAGTAGAGATGAGGTTTCACCATGTTGGCCAGGCTGGTCTCAAACTCCTGACCCCAAGTGATCCACCGGCCTCAGCCTCCCAAAGTGCTGGGATTACAGGTGTGAGCCACCATGCCCGGCCTCCTATTTTATGTTTTTGAGACGGGGTCTCACTCTGTCACCCAGGCTAGAGTGCAGTGGCACAATCTTGGCTCACTGCAGCCTCGATGTCTCAACCCAGGCAACTCCCCCTTCCACCTCCCGAGTAGCTGGGTCTACAGACATGTACCGCCATGCCCAGATAATTTATTTTTATTTTTTGTAGAGATGGACTTTCACTATGTTGTTCAGGCTGGTCTCAAATAGCTAGTGAGATCTCTTTTGCAGCCCCAGAAGATGAATGATGGCAACAGTACGGTTGTATGAAGGTGCTCAGGCCTCCCTCAGATTGAGGGAGAGGATATGGGAATGGCCTTGACCCACAGCATACCCAGTAGAAGGGGACCCAGGAGGTCAGAGAATCATGAGACTCTTTTTTCTGTGAGGTTGGTGAGGAGTGGAGGGATTCAAAGGAAGGAGAGTGCCTCCAGCATCATTTGGCCTTACTGTGTCTCTGGAACTAATCATGTTGGTCCCTATCTTTCTTCTACGGCTCCCCTTCACTATCTACATTCGTACCTTTGGGACTTTTCCTGTGCTACAGAGACAGAACCTGGAGAAATAATTACTAGCATGTG